AAGACAAGGCCAGCCGACACTTCCCATATCTAATTATTAACAGTTAAACCATAAGAAATAAATGTAAAGCATGATAATATAATTCAAAGTTAACAGGTAATAGCATAATTCACGAAAAATAACCCAACACAGCCTGATACCGGGGTGTCACTAGTCATGAGCATCTAGCAAAACGGAATACTCCAAATATAACTATAGAGTTTAATGCAGAAAACTAGGAACATGAAGGACTAAGATAGGGAAGAGCTCCGGGCTGCGAATGCCAATAGCTACCTAGAGACTCCTCGGATCCGCCTGAGCCAGAAATGATCAGCACTCAGGAGCGGGACCAGATACGCCTGAATCTGCACACAGGGTGTAGGGAGTAAAGTGAGTACTCCAACTCAGTGAGTAATAATCTTAAATAAAGATTGAAAGCAGGAAATCACGTAAGGCACAAAGCATGCTATAATGAAGTAGTAAAACCATTAAAAAATAGTAAAACTAGTGAAAGATAGGTAAAAATCCTTTAACTCAAATTTAACTTCATGAAAAGCCTTTTTCAACAATTAAGTAGGTAATTAGCAGTCAATTGTGAAAAGTAAACACATAAAGGTTCGCCCCTCGGGTACAGTATCAACAAATCCGCCCCTCGGGCAACATCTCAGAACAATACCAGCTCCTCGGGCAATCACATAGAACAATACCAGCCCCTTGGGTTCAATCTCACATCACAATGGGTACCCGCGCTCACTGAGGGTGTATAAACTCCTGGAGGGGCCCCTTATGGCCCAAGCACACTATCAAGCCACCTCATGGCCTCATCACTAGGCCCTCATCCTCATATGAATCAAGCCATCTCGTGGCGTACATATCTCAGGCCCTCGACCTCATAATCAGTATCAATTGTTTCCTCACAACATAGGCCATTGGCCTTACTCAGTCAAAATCCTCACAAGCCACTCGAGCAATAGTAAAACATGATTCTCAGCCCAAAAATATCATTTGAAAGATCATGTAAGTGTTAAAAGAGAGTAAACATGGCTGAGTACGAAAAACAGTGAAATATAACATGATTGAGTTCAAGTATAAAGTCAACATAGAGAGAAAATACCAGTAAAAATCCCCGAAAGGTTCAAATAGTTGGCACAAGGCCCAAATATGGCATTCAACCCAAATCATGATGATAACAAATAGATTTCAGTCAAATATGCGGTAAAATAGTCATTCGGGACGGACTAAATCACAATCCCTAGTAGTGCACGACCCCACGCTCGTCATCAAATGTGTGCGTCACCTCAATATAGCACTACGATGTGCAATCTTGGGTTTCAAACCCTTAGAATATCATTTACAATTATTACTCACCTCGAACCGATCAAATCTCTAGCTCGCGACGCCTTTGCCCCTCGAATCGACCTCCACTTGCATCGAATCTATCCAAAATCAGAACGAGGATGTCAAAATATGCTAAGGGAATGAAGCCCAAGCGAAAATAATCAAAATACGACACAAATCCCGAAATTACCAAAATCTGACCCTCGGGCCCATGTCTCGAAATTCGATAATTTTTACATCAACGGAATCCTTATCCTCCCACAAGTTTATACATATCAAAAGTTCTAAAATCCGACCTCAAATGATCCTTCAAATCCTCAAGCAAAGGTCTAAGTTTCCAAGCCCTAGTTTCCCCAATTTTAACCCTTAAATTCCATTAATCATAGCTCTAATCCATGAATTAGTAGCATAGGGACGAGTCTTAGGTCCAAATTCCTTACCTTAATGAAGTACCCTTGAAATCCCTCTTCAAAATCGTCCAAAAAGCTCCCAAGCCGAATTAGAAATGGTGAAAATAGCTCAAAATTACGAAGGACACAATTTATACCTTCTGCCCAGACATTTTCGCATCTGCAGCCCTATTTACCGCTTCTACGGTACCGCATTTGCCGTCCTCGAACCGCTTCTGCGAAAATCACTTAAGTCCCCAGGTTTCGCATATGCGATGAACTATACTGCACCTGCACCTTCGCAGATGCGGTCCCTTAACTGCTTCTGTAGTTCCTTCCGCTTCTGCGACTCCTCTTCCTCCTATGTGTCGTCGCACCTATGGTCCCTAATCCGCAGGTGCAGAAATACCAGAAGCAGCAAAAAAATCTGCAGCTGCAACAATTTCTCAAACTCCCCGTCAACCATCCGAAATCACCCCGAGGCCCTCGGAACCTCAACCAAAAGCACCAACATATCCTAAAACCTTATTCAAATCTTCAAAATACCTCAAACAACATCAAATCAACCAAAACACATCGAATTCAAGTTTAACTTTCCAAAATCTTCTGAATTACGTTTTTGATCAAAAACCTAACCAAACTACGTCCGAATGACCTGAAATTTTGCACACACATTCTAAATTATACAACGGAACTATTGCAATTCTCAAAATTCCATTCCAACCCCTATATCAAAATCTCACCTACCAATCGAAAATCGCCAAAATATCAACTTCGCCAATTCAAGCCTAAATCTACTCCGAACCTCCAAAACTCATTCCGATCACGCTCCTAAGTCCCAAATCACCTCCAAAAGCTATTCGAACCATCGAAACTCACACTCGATCCCTCTAACTCATAAGTCAACATCCAGTTGACTTTTCTAACTTAAGCTTCCTCAAAGAGACTAAGTGTCTCAAACCTTACCAAAATTATTCTGAATTCTATCCGACCAACCCGATACCATATAACACAGATAAACAATGCATAAAAAAACAGAAATGGAAAAAATGGAGCGGTAACTCATGAGACGACTGGTCGGGTCGTCACAATATATTTACCAACTTTCCACAACCCTGATTTCTTCTTGCTGGCGCGCAACATCCAGTGACAACCCATAAAGTCTCTACAGCATACAGCCTTGTATATCTCTGTAGCTGAATCCCTTACTATCATCTCACGTCACTCTCTTACGCTGTAGATTTTTACAGCCCTGATTAGGCGAGCTTTATCGGGAAAATACATGCACTTTGTCAGCACCACTAGTCTAGACTCATCCCACATTGCTGACCGAAATTCATCAGCATCCCTTGTGAGAGTATCCATATCTGGCATACCTGGCAAATTATCAAGGTAGGGAATATTCCGTTCATGAAATAGCACTTGGGACTCGTACGCTCTTGGTCTAACGGGAGGCGGAGGTGCATGCTCCCTCGTCAGCTCAGGTTCGACATTCACTTCCTCCTTATCATCACCCTCATCAGGGAAGGGTGTGTCATCTCCAGACTCATCTACATTGTTGTCATAATCACTATCATCTTCCTGACTCTGCGCATCTACCAAATCACGAGTCAATACGTCGTCTACGGGCAACTGTGTGAGGTCAGGAATATCAAGTTGCTCATTTTCACTGCACAAAAAGAACAAAATGATAAGCTACTGAAATTGATAAATCCTTTACATATAGCTATATAACTTCACTTACAAGTCGTACTGTGTTGACGTTCCGTGATGGACATCTTTTTGTTGGTGATGACTCCCGGATGGACCACCGTGGTCCAACACGCCAGAACTACGCATATTCCAACTAAGAGTGGGGTCATAATTTGTAAAATTCATATCCGAACGGTACCCCCTATGAAAAATATAAGTGTTAATACAAGTCCAATTCAAACATAAAATAGACATAGCTAAAGCGTAAAAAAATTGAAGTTTACCAGTCGTCTTGTGGATTATATAAAGTCGAAAAACTATTTCCTCCTTACTCATTCGCCGGTGGTGATACGTTTAAATCAAGGCAAACTCTTTCATCAGGAATCTGTCCGGCAAAAACTGCTCCAGAATAACCACCCGATGACTGGGGTTTATTCCTACTATGCACAACCTCATTATTGGAAACGTCTTCAACCTTGACGTAGATTTTCAATAATTTTATTACAATAAATTCTCTGTATTCATCCGGAATCCGCAAAAAATCTCTAAGAGTTTCCCCATCTTCGATGTTAAACTCAGAATAATAAGCAAACTCATGCGGAGTCACAGAATACGGAAATCTACCGGTTACTTTAAGGTTCACCGAACGTTTCCTTGCACTCATTTTTTACGTAACAATGATACAATTTATCGTACTCCATTGTAAGCGGCAATTTAACATGACACTATAGAGGTGAACTCTACCTCACAGAGTTATTCTCTATTACAACCTCACCCCCCCTCCCCCCAATATAATGAAACCCTTATTTTTGTCTCTTCAGACATTATAAAAAAATGCTTGATAACAAGAAGAAAAGTATGAACGGAAGTTTGAAAGTAAGTTTTGAATGGATTTTCATAAAATCCTAACGCCTTTAAATAAGGTAAGTCCTAGCTCGGGGTGTAGAATTTTTTTATGTAAAATGCAGTATAATACCGCGCTTTATATATTTGAATTATTGTTATATCAGTTAACCGCAGAACACTTATTGGTGGGCCCAAAAAAGAAGTAAAACACAGTATAATACCGCACTATATGTAAAACGCGGTATTATACTGCGCTTTACTTTAACAGCTAAAATTCTGTTAAAGTAAAACACAGTATAATAATGTGTTGTATATAGAAAAGTAACTTTTTTTAATACCGTAGAAACGTGTTTTCAATCCAAAATGTTAGACATTTAGGTTTGGGACTCGTTGTACGTAGAGTTCCCTTTTCAAAGAAAGAAATGAAGTGACAAGGCAAATGTAGGATTTGTACAATAAATCATAGTAAAAAATTATACTAGTATACTGTACTTATTTATGGTACAAAAGTAGAAATCCACACTACGAGAATAAATAAATAAAATGTGAGGAAAATAGCAAAAGCATGACTGAAGTGACACCAAGGTAGGTCCCCCTCAACCACAGGGTATATAAACCCCTCACACTCCCTTTTCTCTGCAGCAAACAAACACCATTAACGGCTTTCTCTCAGCTACTCTCTCACAGAAACAGACACAACTAGAACGCTCAGTTAAGATTTGAGATTTTCCCACTTTCGGAACAAAAGTACAAGTAATGAAGCGAAAGTTACCCTGGGAAGCAGCACTTCAACCGGCGGTTCAGCAACCGACCGAGAAAATCCTCCCGCCAGTGGTGACGAAGCAACTCCGGTCGAAGCTACATCGCCGGCGGAGATCACGTATCACTCCGATAATTCTACGTTCCTTATCTAGTATTGCTGGTTCGTCGCACTTGACCAGCGAACTCTTAGGTGAATCGAGCAAAAGTTCTGTGAATAAGGAAACGGCAGTGAAGAAGCGACGAAGCACCGATGCTGAAGTGGAATTATCGGAGTGCTCTTGTGTTGAGTCATCGGAGATATCTAGTTTTCAGACATTTTCCAGTAAAATCACGAAAACTGATCAAAATCCAGTAGATATCTCTCACGATATCTTCTCAAAACAGAAGCGAAATGTAAAATATATTGAAGAAACTGAGGATTCTAATGAAGCTTCTGGTGATTTTTGCGGTAAAAGCTCTAAAAATGCTGAGAAAATCAGAGACGATGATGTCGTTTCGTTCAATTCTGTGTTACAATCGCCTTCTGAGTCAAAATATGGAAAATTATCAGTTCAAACAATCAAATGTAGTGAAAACAGAGCAACGGAAGATGTGAAGAATTCTGAAGTTTCACGAGTCAGTCCAGAGGTAGAATCTGCTATAGGACAATCACATGAGAAGCTCGTTGGAGCGGATTTTGATCTGGAATGTTCTGAACATCTCTCAAACAGTGATATTTTTGACAATTATTCTTCATCAACTTACTCCGAACTCCAGTCGGAGATTTTCCCGGAGAGTTCAGATATAGATCTGTTCGCCGATTATAGTTCATCCGATTGGTACGATTCTGGAAGCCAGTTCTCGGAGAAATCGAACGCCGACGCTAGTCCTTCACCTACTTTCGCGTTGTTTCTTCAATTCAATCAACTGTTCTGCAGATCATCAACCGTCGGTTTGCAATCCACTTCCATAAACTCTCCAGACGATGATCACATTTCTACTGAGTTAATCGTAGGTTCTATAAATCCTACTTCCTTTGTACCTAAAATTTGCTTTTCAATTTTTTTTATATCTCAGCTCTAAATTCATCCAAATTGAAATGTATTTGTTGTTAGGATTTGATGAAATTCACCGCAGTTTAGTTATTACATTATTGTTGAAATTCACGCTTATTTTAGTTGTGTTAGCCTTAAACAACATTATGATTCTTCTGTTTCTTTCTCGTTTTTTGGTATGAAGCAGGGATTGGAAGAAGAAGAGGATGAAGAGAGCTATAGGATGATAAGGAAGAGAGAGAGGAGGCAATTGTATCTACATGACTACGCCGAGGAGTACTGCTCCACGACGGACTACGGCGATCTCATCGTCCAGCAGCGGTTGCAGATGGTTCGTTGGATCCTTGAGGTAAGTTAATTAGTGATGAGACGTGCTATTCCACGTTTCTTAATTTCTAGTTGATGCAAAATTCAAGTTATATTTAACTGTAAAATGATGTTGCTAGCAAATCAAATAAAATTTGTGTGATATGTTAATTTTTTATGTATGTGGAAAACTTACGCTGATTGTGCATGTGGATTGGAAGTCATATTTTCTACTTACTGGCAATAAGCCAATAGAATCCAGTTTGCACGTGAGCCTATAATGTTGCTGACCATATTGCGTGATGCATGTCATTCATGGTGCAGTTATATATTTACGAGTTTAATTAACTGGTAAAATTTTCAAGCATTAGTTGATAATCCAGTGATAATATAAAAAGTCGTATATATCTTAAATTCTATATTTATATTTTTAAAAAATATAAAAGTAAGGTCCATATAAAGTATAATCCTTCCTTTTATATTACATGAAAGTGCTTGAATGAATGAGGAGATTAATAGGTTATTTCTTTTATATTAGTATTATGTTAATAATAGTAGAAGAAAGCTAAATGTTTACCCTGTCTAGTAGGGCTCTGGCAGCACAATCGTTGTAGTAGTGATTGGAGGTAGCTTTGTAGTTGCTGCATACTGGAGAGGTCACTTTGCAGTTTTTTTTCTTGTACTGATTGCCATTGGTAATAAAAACTTTTATTTACCAAAAAAAAAAAAGAAAATTAATGGTTGAATATTAGTAATTTGATCGGGAAGATATTTTCATTAAAATTCAATATTGAAATAATAAGATGAATTTTAAATTGATCATGAAATTTGTGAAAGTTGAATAGAATAATATTGTCAAACATTTCGGTAAGTTCGAAAATGAAAAGGATGCTATATGTAAATAGAGACAGATAGAGTATCATAACTCAACTTTTTGCTTATGTTTTTGTTTTTCATTCATAGAGTAACTCACGCGGGAAGTGATGGGGATGGGCGTCGCAGTAAATTTCTAATGAAAAGCAAAAAAATTGTCCGCACTTGATTTTTAAATTTCACTTGCATTTCAGGGGTTTACCAATTGATGGCCCTTAAACCCCATGGTGCTGGGAGGATTCCAATTCCACTATTGCTGTTACTAAAGAATGATAAGAAAATTTACAGTTCTTTACGCTGTTACTAAAAAATGACAAGAAATTTTACAGTTCTTTACAAGGTGAAATGTGCGAGACCATTCTTTGACATCCCAAGACTCCCATTTTTTTTTTCTGCAGAGAATTGCAGTACAAAATATACCTTTTTCCCATCTGATGGATGCTATTAACCTTGATTAAGAGCCTAAGGAGTACAATGAAATAAATCTTGTTTTAACAGACTATGCTGCGGAAATGTGCAAATACATACTAATGCCATTAGTGTTTGCAGTTCCCTTTGCCGTCTAATGTTGGACATTACTTCTTTTACAGCAAGCTACAAGGAAGAAACTTCAGAAGGAGACGATGTTTTTAAGTGTCAACCTCTTTGATCGATTTCTTAGTAAAGGGTACTTCAAAACCAGAAGATGCCTTCAAATTGCTGGTGTAGCCAGCTTTACTCTGGCAGTCAGGATTGAAGAAAACCAGCCTTACAATAGGTAACATTTCTTGCTCTGACATTATTTCTAGGCTTGTTCCCTTGAGTGCCACTAGAGCATAAGAATGAAATGGCTAACGAAAGTGCATACTAGCAGAGTTTGAAATCAATTATAAAATCTGTGGAAGCTCAGCATTGCAAATTACCTTGCATTTATTTTCTCTGATGTTTAAGTCACTGGGATAGATTGCTAAAGTTTTTAAAGGGAAAACTCAAATTGATGAACAAGTTAAAAGTCTTGGTCTTTAACGTTCCATATCATCGTTAAAAGATGTTTATCTGCTTAGGTCTCATTTGCAAAATAGTTACTCCAGTTGACAAGTTCACAACTTCCATTTCAGCATCCGCCAGAAGACATTTGTTGTTGCAGGCACCGCATATAGCTGTAGTGAAGTGGTGGCTATGGAGTGGTTGCTGCAGGAGGTCCTAAACTTCCAGTGTCTGCTTCCAACGATATACAACTTCTTATGGTACAATGATCAACCATGCTATACAAATTCTTATTGCTCAAAATATGATACTTGATGATTTTGCCTTACCCCTACTAAATCTAAGTAAAAAGCAATTTATTTTATACGGCTTTTGTCCCGGCCAATATAGGTTTTATCTTAAGGCCGCTCGAGCTACTGAAGACGTGGAGAGGACTGCCAAGTACCTGGCAGTACTAGCTTTGCAGGGTCATGAACACTTGTGTTACAGACCATCAACTGTAGCTTCTGCACTTGTGATTCTTGCTTCATCAGCTGCAAACCTTTATGCCTCTTGCCATTTGGTCACAGAGGTAACTTCTGTAAGACATGATTATGAATCCAAAATGTGTCTGTGACTATGTTTTCTACTTGGAAATACGACTTCAAAAACAACATCAGCTCCAAGTATATTTGTAAGCACGAGTTTATCCATAATTGTGCTTTGCAGGCGCCACATTTTCCCCAAATGTCATGATGGAAGTGCATTTGAACTCTAATTCACATGTTTCTTGATCTCTTCATCTGCAGACTCATGCGAGAATAAAAGACGAGGATTTACCTGATTGCATAAAGGTATTATATGGCATTCTACCAATATTAAGCTCATTTTTCTCTATCTGTGCAGAAACTTGAGCCAGACAACTAATACAACTCTAAAGTCACTCCTTTTCATATTTTGCATAATCTAAGCTATGATACTGGTTTAATGAAGTTACTCTTTTTAGTTTATCAAAGAAGCTTTCTGATGGCATATTGTTCATACATGACAGAGCTTGGAATGGTTGGTGAAGTACATATGATATGAAGGTGGTCCAGCATCTCAAAAAAATTCTGCATATTTTGGAGTAAATCAGTTTTTCATCTCATTCTTTGGCTAAAATTTTTTCTTAGTCTTTCCAAAAGTCTCAGGCAATAACATCAAGATATAGTCTTCTGAAGTTTGAGCAAGTGAGGCTTACTTCATTCTTTTGTCCTTGTAACAATACCAAAAGTACACTTCGTGTCTACTGTCCTTGCCAGGAATCAAGCATGTAGAAAGAACTCAAAAGAAATTGTTGTATTCAGCATATAAACAATAGTGTAGCTGAAAAATAAAATTTGTGATATATGTTTTGTTGCTTCCAAACACACACGCAAGTATACATGATCGTACAAGTAATATAGAATTGTAAGTCCATATATCATACCCACAGATACTTGTGATTAACTATTTACTGAATTAAACTAAAACAATTAATATATTCAAGACATTTTCTAAAGTATGAATATTTAATTAAAACTAATCTAGAGTAGCAAACTAAGCGATAAATAAAACAAGCGGGCAATCTTAGAGATGAATTCAATGGAGAGAATATTTCAGAGCTATAGGTTAGCTAATAATCCCGTTGAGTTATCTACCTAAATTGTCTAATTAATTTATCTGGTTTGTAGATTGACATGGTTAATATTACTCGTAGTCTTCTCCCGAAGTACTACTCGCCTATTCAAGCTAACCTACCGCATATATTCCCATGGAATGGGGATTAACAAGAACACATTAATAATTCCTGTATAATAACCAAGCAAGGCGATTAGGTGTATCCCTATCCTAACAGCAAATCTGTTCCCGATGCTCGAGTTCAAGATTTTGCTCTACTCAATCTTATATGCAATCTAGAATTCCCTCTCTCGAGTTCAATCTTAGATTTGTAGATAGTATTCAATTGGTGATCAAGCAATCAAACAATTAAGTGCAAGATTGACTAAATAAACCAATATGATGAAATAATAAGAACAATCCAAGTTTCAAACTACACTGTTCATGTAGCACCCACAACTCTAGAACTAATAAATTATGAAATTAAAAGAAGAGAAGAGAAGAAAAACTAGTTAGAAGCCTCCTCCAAACGTGATGTGTGTTCCCCCTTCCAAAGTGGTGTGTTCTCCTCCCAAAATATGTTAGATATCCTCCAAATTAGGTTTAGAATTGGTTTTTTATACACGTTGGGGGGTCTTGGGCCAAAATAACCTTGTCGCAGAAGAAACTTCCCGTCACTAGCATCCAGGATAGCATGGGGCGCTAGCCCTGGCGCTGAGAATTTTGAGGTTCTGGAAACTGGGCCACAGGTAGCGCCCCACGCTAGCTACAAATGGTCATTTTCCATTTTTTCTCCTTTTTTACTCTAATCTCGCACCGTTCGCCCAACATCGCCTCCGGATGATTCCTACACATAAAAATACCACGAATTAGCATAAATCAATACACTTCACATTCGAAATCTGCGAAACACGAGTAAAATATGAGGCAATATACATATAAATATATATACTTTAAGCTAAATATCAACACCCCACACTTAGACCCTTACTTGTCCTCGAGTAATGAGACTATCAACTACACCCCAACAATGTACACATCTCAAATAGAGAGGAGCACTTCAATTTTTAAACTTACACTCTACCCTTGACTATGATCGATACTGGAAATCAAGCACTAACATACAAATTTCACATTTTTCTCATTTTAAACATTCCCAAGTATAAACATTTCAATTCAATCAATTCAAACTAAAGGTGTTAATCAGGCCGGGCTGACCCGCTAACAACCCGGTTCAACCTGGGTCAGCCCGGTCCAGCCCGTTATTGTGCATATGTGTGCGGGTTGAGACGGGTTGGACGGGGGTGGGCTAGTAACGTTAAGTTTTCGCCAAACGGGTACCCGAACCCGCCACAATCCGTTAAGCCCTTAACGGGTTCTTAACGGGCCTCAGCCCGCGACAGCCCGCAAAACCGCCTAATTTTATTTATTTATTTTAAATTAAATCTGACCGTTGCCAACGGTCAAATTTCAAAAATGACCGTTGACCAACGGCCAAATCTGTCAAAAACAGCCAAAATTTGGTATTTTATTTATATTTTAGCCCCCCC